GGGGGGGGTACACGTGCTCCCCCAGCGCAGGGGTTGGGGTTTGCCCCCCCCAGGCAGGGTTTGGGCACTGCTCCATCTCCACCCAGGTCAGGCAGAGCAGCTCCTGCTGCCCTCTGCTCACCCTGAGCCCTTCACCCTCATCAATCCCACATCCTTGGGCCCCCCCAAACCTTGGCCCCCATAAATTCCAAACCCTTGGCCCCATCAGCTCCATGCCCTTTGTCCCACAGACCCCAAATCCTTGGCCCCACAAACTGCAAACCCCTTGGTCCTCCAGACCCCAAACCCTTGGACCCCTAAACCCTGAATACTTGGCCCCCAGAAACCCCAAACCCTTGGTGCCCACAAACCCCAAGCCCTTGGCTCCTCCAACCCCAAACCCTTGGCCCCTCAAACCCCAACTCCTTGGCCCCCATAAACTCCAAGCCCTTGGTTCCTCCGACCCCAAACCCTTGGCCCCTCAAACCCCAAGCCCTTGGCCCCCATAAACTCCAAGCCCTTGGCTCCTCAAACCCCAAAACCTTGTCCCCATAAACCCAAACTCCTTGGCCCTACAAACCCCAAACCTTTGGCCCCTCAAGCCCCAAGTTTTTGACCCTCAAACCCCAAGACCTTAGACCCCTAAATCCCAACTCCTCGGCCCCCATAAACTCCAAACCCTTGGCTCCTCAACCCCCAAAACCTTGTCCTCATAAACCCAAACTCCTTGGCCCTGTAAACCCCAAATCTTTGGCCCCTCAAGCCCCAAATCTTTGACCCTCATACCCCAAGTCCTTGGACCCCTAAATCCGAACTCCTCGGCCCCCATAAAATCCAAACTCTTGGCTCCTCAAACCCCAACTCCTTGGCCTTAAAACCCCCAAATCTTTGGCCCCTTGGCCCCCAAACCCTTGGCCCCAAAGACCCTAAATCCTAAACCCGAGCACCCTCCAAGGGCAGGACCGGTTTCTCTCCGAGTGCTCCCTTGAGGTCGCATCCTGCCACAGCAGCATCTCCTCCGAGCTGCCCGGCCCAGGAGCAGAGCTGGGACCTAAAACTGCTGCCTCACCCCGCAGCCCTGGGTGGGGGAAGACAAAGAGGGGGAAGAGAAAGAAAAAAAAAAAAAGTCAAAATGT